TCTTCAGTGCCATGCTTTGGATCTACTATGCATTACTCAAATCTGATGCTTTCCTTCTCATCACTATCAATTCCTTTGGTTGCTTGATCGAAACCATTTACATTGCCTTCCACATCACTTATGCCCCAAAGAAGACTAGGGTTAGTAACTTACATGCTTTTTTTCTCAGTCTAATTTGCAAAAACTAGTTTAAATATCACATAATCACATTAATTTCTCTAAATGCAGATGTCTACCTTGAAGTTACTTCTTTTGTTAAATTTCATGGGATTCTCCACAATTCTTCTTCTCTCCCACTTCTTAGCCAAAGGATCAACTCGTATTCAAGTTCTAGGATGGATCTGTATGACAGTTTCCCACAGTGTGTTTGTAGCACCTTTAAGCATTATGGTGAGCAATGAAAACACATTTTTAATAGTTAGAATAGTAGTTAATCATACTTAATTTTGGCATTCCCTATATATTAAACAAAACTAAGTAGTGTTAACGAGTACATCTATTTATATAGATTTTTAATTAACAAAAAAAATATACATGATGTGGACTAATTGATCGTTAATTAATGTGCAGAGATTGGTTATTCATACCAAAAGTGTGGAGTTCATGCCTTTTAATTTATCTCTTTTCCTCACTATAAGCGCAATCGCGTGGCTTTTTTATGGCATATTCCTCAAGGACTTGTATGTTGCAGTAAGTGGCTTGACCCTTCTCTCGCTGACAAAATGCTATATAGTACGGATCATAATTAGATGAAGAATTTGTTTTGAATGCAGATTCCCAATATTCTCGGATTCATATTTGGGTTTCTTCAGATGGTGCTCTATGGAATATACAGGAATAAGTCCAAGTCGGCGATGGTAAAAGGCGCTCAGTTACCCCAACAACACTACAGCATCGATATGACTAAACTCAGCACCATCACATCGACTTCAGAGGCACAACCCAACACTGAGTGCAAGGAACAGAATGTGGATCAAAGTGGGAAAATCAAGGAGTCTTTAGGCTCCAACCCAATAATAGCTTGTGAAGTTTAAAAGACAAGATTTCAAGCTTTTACTAAAGTTGATGGATCGACAATCGTACCAGCCTGCTGGGTCGATCCCCTACCTCTTTACAAGATTAGTGTCATGTGTTATACGTGCACGCCTGTTACCGGCTGCAATATGCATTATGTATTTCTGTTTCCTGTTTCATTTCCTGGTTTTTAATTTAATTCTGTTGTACTAGTGTTTCCAAGAATCTCGGCCTAAACACAAGTTGGCTAGGCAAAATAACAGTACTGGAATATAGTTTAATTTTAATTTCATTCCTCAAATGACTTCAACCTATGTTAATTTGTTGGGTAATGATACATCCACATTGTAAACCCACACCCCCTAGTGACACACTACCGGTCCACCTATTAAAATACATTTTGCACATGTAGGTTGGCCTATCCCTGGCTTGTTTAGAATAATCCTGTTGAATTCCTAATATTGAAATCATGTCCACATTCAATTCAAATCTGGGGAGAAATAGGCTCAGGTTTTGGGGATTTTTAGATCTGGGTTTTGAGTGAAGGAGCTAACAACAAAACAAAATAGCATAAAGGAGACTCTTTGAATTTGAGGCGTCCAGACCTTGGGTGGTTTCGAGTGGTTTCTTTCCTGTATCTCTCAAGTGCTCCTTGCTCAATTATGGCTTTCAATTTTGCAGATATGACAAAATGCTCGGTAGTAGCTTCTTTAAACTCTTGTCCTTCCATTTTCCATAGGTAGACTGCAATTGCAATGCATCATCATTTTATTTTATTTTATTTTATGGATGAAATTTTTTTTAAAAAAAAAAAGGAAATCCAAAAAGTTAGGAATTGAGATTACAAGATCAAAAAGAAGGGAGTGGTCATCAAGATTGGAAATTGTGATTAAACTCGGTGGAGGACCAACTCAACCTTGGGTTTCCTCCATCTCGGCTAGAAAACAAATCTAGGTAGCCTTTTATTCTGCAAATTTTCTGATTTTATTTTGCATTTTTTCTGATTTCTTGTGAGTGGCCGGAAACATTTAACAGGTGCTCCGAAGAAGATGGTTGCTGGCAGCATGGAGCTGGAGTCTGGAGCTTTTTCTGGCTGGGTGAAATGTGTCAAAATTTTTTACACATGAAATTCTTCATAGATGTGAAATTGAAAGCTTTCTTGAGAAACCCAACAGTCCCCGAAGTGGAAGAAGATGGAGAAGCTCCGTGACACAAAATTTGGGGTGCTTGCTTCTTACATGAATTAACTATGAATGACAAGAGGATTAAGCCTTTCCCCAGCTAATTTCAAACTGTGAAATATTTATTTTTTAGTTAGTGTGTGATGGGGGTGTAGATTTAGAGTGTGGATGTATTACTACCCTAATTTGTTATGATCAAATTGATTTTAGTTCATATGTATTTTAAATATTTTAGTAAATATATGTTTAAATGTCAACTTATAATATTATATATATTTACTCATTTAATATCATATTAAATTATAAATAAATTTACGTGTGTTAAAGTTGGTGTAGCTTTTTTCTTATTTTTTGTTTCCCTTATTTTTTGTTTCCCTTATTTTTTGAATAAGATAAATTAGGACAAGATATTGACATAGTATGATGTAAGAAGATGCAAAAAATC